GTAACAGTACATCTGTGAAGTTTTAAATCAAATCAGAACGACATCATTCTGGCTTTTCTAGGTTTTCTGTTAGTAGGGATGCTGAGTAGTGCTCAGATTGAATTTACCATGGCTGGGCATCTAAGCCTATTAGAGCTTTTTTTTTTTTTTGTAAGAAAAGGCTAAACCTCAATCAATTCCAATTTCATTACCTGTGATCTCCTTTCAAAGTGATTTTGTCTTCCTGTCTCAGAAAGTGGAGGATTGAGATAGAGGATTACATTCTGGAGTTTTTTCTTAATCATAATTGTGTTATCATCAATCCAAAAGCAATACAAAAAAAGTCTGCAAGTGTGGGACGCAGATGTGCATAAGACATGTAAGAACTTAGTAGATGTGAAAGGTTATATGCCTTCCGCTTCTGTTGTGATCAGCCCTCCCTAGACTCTTATCACTGTTTTAACCTCAACTGTGAAACCAACTGAAATCCATCTAAATTGTGTGTATAAAAAAAATTAAGCACATCAGAATAGAACTTTTTTCTTTTTCATTTTAAATCTCCCCACTATAATGGCTTCAAAATCTTGACACTGGCTAGGTTTTTGGTGATGACTGATATCACTGTGTATTGACCAAAATTCTCTCTCCCTCCTCTTATTACCTAGTACCTTCAAGACTGCAAGCCTTCTTTGACACATAAATTGTACGTTTTTGTTCTGTGTGTATCCAGTTAGGAATAAACTTAGGTCTTGGTCCCCAGGTGGAACTGACAGGAAGAATAGCAAAACACATCTGTAATAAGCTATAAAACTGTAATCAGACTGCTTGTAAATTCAATGTACACGTTAAATTATTGTGTTTATGTAGCTGGAGAATATGAGTGAAGCTGGAATTAAACAGTATTTCCTCAATGTTGATGTAAGCTAATCGAAGTAACAGTATTGTTACCAGTGGACTCAGATCTTGACTTTGCTTATACCATTCTAATTTACTGGTATGATTACATAAATAACTACAAAGTGAAATGAAATCAGGTAATTTAAAAAAAAAAAATTCCAGCCTGCAGCAGTTATATTTGTGACAAAGGGAAAGTCTGGGTTCATATTGTTGATAAAATGGATGTGTAAGGAAATTACCAGTTATTTTATTTCCCTACCATAATACCTATTATTATTGATACTAACTCTGTATTGGACATGAGTCTTAATTGCTACTTATTGTATAATTGCAAGGAAAACATGCATCAAAATCGTGTTGGTATTATTTGTTGTTTTGAGCATATAATACAATAGCATCATCTTCCATCACCAGTACTTTATCATTGTTAACCTCTGACTCCCTTTGCAGGCCCTGTTCGGTGAAAAGAGGATCATGCTAAGCATTATTTTCCCACATATTTACTACAATTCTTTTATCAGTCTCAGCCAATCTGTAAAACAAAACTATAGGGGTCTGATCTTCTGTGTTTTTTAAAATCATGAACCAAACTGACACAGCTGTTTGTGTGCTAATTGTCACCATGGGATAATTTTTACAAGTAATGTTATTTTTAATTTATTAAGAAATTTATCATATCGTTATCATAGACATATTGAAAGCCAAGCTTATCTGTTATATCATTCCTAAAGAAGGTCAGAGAAATGGCATTGGCTCTAGTCCCATGAGTCAGGTACAGCAGAAAAAGAAGTCTCTATCGTGCTGAGCTGTTTGTAGGCAGAGTTAATTTAAACTAGAAATTTTTCTTCTTATGGGAAGTATGATTGGTTTTTGCTGTGATTTTGGTCCTTCAGTATATGAGCCCTCTCTTTGGAGAATCCTTTAAAGGAACATTTCTGTTTTGAAGAGTCTATAACTTCATGGGACCAGTATTCATATCTTCCACCAGCATTTGTTGGGTTCTCATCTTTATACTAAAATGATCATAATAGAAATAAAGACTCATGAGACAGTCTATAGAAAGTTACTTAAGCTGAAGTAGTATGATGGCATTTTCTGTCCCTAGATGAATAAATTTGTATATTTGATACTTGATTTTGCTGGCATTTGGGCTGTGGCATATTTATAAAGTTGATAGTATATCAATATATATTGAATAGAGGTTTCAATGTGAGAGTATTTCTAGGCTTTCAAAAAAAAATGTTGCTGATTATGGTGCATTTATGAAATTAGTCAAAGTGAAGAGTTGGCTTAAATGTGTGCAATCATGAAATGTGAATAACATGTTTTCCAGAAATGCAATTCTGAAATTCTGATGTGCTGAAATATTCCAGAAACCTTCGTATGAGCTCATGGAAAAGGGGAAAATAAACCCCAAAATTAGTTGAATTAGTGGTAGATGATTTTCATATTTGCCTTTTTTTTATCCAAATAGGGGTTTTTTCTCCTTTGGTTACATTGCTGTCCATAAAATTATAACATCCTTTTCCTTGTAAAGTGAGATATATCTTCCTTATAAATAAAGCTTTATGCAGATCAGACTTCTGTACTAAATCAGAGCTGTTTTTACTTGTCAAGTTCTGCTGTTGCATTTTGGTTTAATTTGCTTAGAATTTTTCATCTTTTCTTTGAGGGAAGGCTTGGAAAAGCAGAGAACCCATGCCCCCACCATAGTTAGGTGTTTGCTTCCCTTTCAGCAAATCTGTCTTGTGTAGCCCAGCATTTCCAATCTGTAGGAGCACCTTGAATAACTCACAATATTGGAGTGGACAAACTTCTCTGCTTATTTAGTTGTTATCCGCTTTCAGCAGTGATTTATATCAATGATGTGAGTGTAAAGCAGCTCTATGGCTCTATGTATTTTAGTACAGGACAAACATCTGCCTTTCCAAAATCTCAGACTAGCAGAGCATCCTCAAAAGTCAGGTCCTGATGTACAAGACACAGGTTTTTGGATGTCTGTCTTCCATCAGTTTACTTTAACACAGTTTAAAGGCTTATTTAGTACCTGTTAAAAGGCAAACTCAAGTAGTAAAAAAGCTGTTATCTGGATACTTGATGGTTTAAGCAATAGATGCCAAAAGCTTTCAAAAACCTTTTTGATGTGAGCATGTAAACCTGTACAAAAGGAAATTTGAAGCACCTGTCTTAGATGTGAATGAAAGTGAGTCTGACTTATAATTTTCACCCATTCCTCTTCCACAGTGCCTTCTGTAAATATTCTGTGCAGGCCTTTGCAGTTTGTGTAAATGATGCCCCTATTCCCTCAAAGCCTTTGGTGGTCATTCTGATCAACCACATCAACTACAAATGGCTGAACTGGCCAACTCTGACAAGAGTTTCTGAACTTGCCAACAGTCGCCAAATAGAGCAGTGGAATCTTTTTGTAGATTTCTTTCCCCTATCCCCACCCTATTGTCTCTCTAGCTTTATTCACTATAGAGCTGTAATCTTAAATTTTAACTTAACCCAAGGAGGCAAGGAGCTGCAGACCTAATGATTTTCATTGCTAATTTTATGAAAATTTCAAGAACAAGAGCTGAAGGATCAAACCAGAACACCATCTTCATTACGTATTCATTGGACAAACCTCTACTCTATTTTTACTACTTCCAAAATATTGCAGTACAGTATCAGCCATATAGACCTTCACACAGATACTGGCATGCCAGTGGCAGGACTATATATAAGACTCTTAGTTTGCACATAAAAAATATCAGTTGAAAGCTGTAATTCCAACTTTAACAGATTCAAAGGCTTACTGTAGTTTTGTGTCTCTGTTCATACAAGTTGAACAAGTTGCTACTCATCTGTGTTTGCCAATGTTATGATTTTATTATAATAAAGATATTACTGTATTTGGCTTCTCTCCAATTTATTTGAATGACATATTCTACTTCAGTGTTAATTAGGTGCAAGCTCCAAGATCTAAAAGATAAGACTATAATACTTTGGTACATTTCCTCTAAAATGCCTTTTATGTGATTTATTAGCTACACAAAGATTCCAATCAGAAACATTAAATAGTTCTAACTTGTAAGGTATTGGAATTTTAGGTTTCTGAATACTTTTTTTTCATGAGCTGCCTGCTTTTAGAATTTGAAAATTAATTTATTGATCCATTATCTGAGAATTTATATATTTAAGTTATATTTACATAAAAGTAAAACATCCTATTCAGGCCATTTTAAAAATGTTTGTCATTTTCTCAACATTAGAGATCTACTGGGATAAGCAGAGAGAGCGTGCTGGAGCAGAGCTGGTTTAGCCAAGCCATCACCTCTCTCTCTCCATCCCCCGTAGCTTAAGGAAAACGTTTAATGAAGGAGGAATCATACAGTACTTTTCTCTCTTCTTTGAAATCACATCCAGATTTTACACTCTAGCTTCAGTATCTCTAATCTGCCAGTCCAGGATAGTTAACTAGTCTATTGATAACTGTGTTTCATGGATTTCAAAGGTAATGGTGTGAAAAACCCCGAAGACTAGTTTTAAACTGAAAAGTTATCAGTTCATGTTTTTAATTCTTGCTACTATTGCATTTAGAAGGATATCGTGCATTCTGAATACAGTTAGATGATTTTAAAGCTTCCTTATGTCACTAGAGCTTGTACCTGTCAAAAATATTTATCAGTGTAATGGCAGAAACAGTATGTTTTAGAACATTTTCTATGTTTCAAAGAGAAAAATCACATAACTAAAATAGTTGAAAAGAGATAAAAGTTGTACATTAATGACATCAGAGATTTCTGTAATGGGGAATGGTGTAAGCCAAATTTTGCAGATGCCATGATGCAATTATACTGTAAAAGAAAATACAGAGAAAATTGTGCAGAGTTTCCAAGACAGTGGAAATACCCCAATATACTTTTCTCTTTCTTCTCGCCATCACTATATTATAATTTTAAAAAACATCTTATGTTATGAACATCTTATAGGTTAGAAATCACCTTAAACTCTATTCAGGATGTGGAAGAACAAGGTGCTTTCCTTTACAAATGGAGCTCATCTTGAGGTGAATAGGATTTAAGACCCTCCCCTAACTTTCACATGTTCTATTTGCTAATTTAGGTGATTGCCTCAACATGTCGAGCATGTATGTGAGCCATGAACTTTCTAGTCTGTCAAAACCAGCATCTGGCAGATTTTCCTATAGCCATGACTCCTACACATCTTCCTGCTGTGATGCAGGAAATTCTTACTTATTTAAACCTTTGATAGGTAATTTTCTATTTTCCTGTCTCTTAGGTACTTAGACAATACAGGCAATGCTCAGAAAGGACCTTGGGAAGGCTGCCTTCTTTTGCTCAGAAGCTTCAGTTAAAGAGAAGCAATGGAAATATTTTTGCAAATAATTTATTTACCAGTCTACCTTTTCAGTGTTTCCTTTTACTTTTCAGCTTCTCTTGAAAGTTCATTTTTTCTGTTTTTTGAAAGAAATCACCTTCTTCCTGGCACAAGAAAAGCACAGAACATCCCTCTACTTCTCCTTTAAACCCAAAGAAGTATGAAAAACATATCTGATTTTTAATGCAAAATATGCAAAATTACCCTCTCTTGATGATGTTAACAGAAATAAATTAACAGAAAAATACTTTGATTGATTTTTGGATTGTGCAAAATAGAAGAATTTATGGTTTTGTCTGGTGATAGTTTTATAGTTCTGTTTTGCTGATAGTTTTACTACCATGAAAAAGTTGTGAATGAGCATGAAAAAGTCCTAAAAGAATATGTAAAACACACCACCCAACTGCTCAACTGCTCACCCTTTGCAGATGTTATAGTGGGTGTCTACAGACTTCAGACATCATTCATGTTTATCACTTGTACAGCGGGACAGCTTTATTTTTGCACTGGAACAGATGTTTATGAGAATTCCACATCTTTCATAGTGTTTATTTGCCTATCATCAATGCTTCCAAGCTCTTTCAACATAAAATCAGTAGGAAAAACTAAATCTGTACAAGTGTTTCTTTGCCTCTTCTAAATTTTTCTTAGATAATTAAAATATTTTTTGTTAAATTTATTTTGAAAAGGAACAACTAAGGGTAGGTATGTATTAAAGTTACAAGAGTTACAGGAAAAACTTTTCCCAGACATAAAATAATCAGAAAAATAAAACATTTAGGATGTTTAGAGGTGTCTACAAAACAGTCCAAATTTCTGAGTTTTTTGAAAGGATAATATTCTGTCTATTCTTTTAAATACTTATGTTGTTGTAGAAAATTTATGAGAAATGTAAATGGCTATTTTATGGAGTTGCTCAAAACCTTTATAAAAAATTCTTAAGTTTTCAATTGTGGTTAGTAAACTAATGTTCTGGTCACTTATTATCTTGTTTTGGGGTTTTTTTTTCCTGTCAAACAGGTGCATTTTATGAAATTGTTCAGAGCTTCCCTCGAATGGAGGAAAATGTGCGAGTGGATTCATATGTAAGCAGCAACAGGTGGAGAAGGCATTCAGAGTCTCTCAAATCAATTGACACCAACAGAGCCAGCATGGGGCAAGATTCCTCTGAGCCAGGGGGTTTCACAGACCTGCTGCTTGAAGAAGGACATGACAACACCACCCAGATTGAGGTAGATATTCATTCCATCTATTTTTTTATTCAATTTGTCATCTTTGATTGGGGGTAAGTAAAAAATTAGGACATTTCCTTCCGTGTATTCAAATGTCGACAGGGAAGAGAACCTCTGGTCTTTGTGAACCTGTCAGCATGTGTAAGCTAGTTATCTCTTGTTCTGGGGCAGGAGCCTATCCTTTCTGACTTTTGAAGATAATCTCTTGAGGCTGTCTGTTCCTTTACTGGAAAACACCTAAGGGAAGTCCCATGTTTTGGTAGTTCTGGAGACATGGAAAAAGTAGTATTAAAATAAAATAAAACTGAATTATTTTTTAGAAGCTGGTGTAAACACCTCAATTTACAAGACTTTGCCTGTCTTTATGGAGATCTATATCCAGGCACAAAGGGGAAAAGGCTCTAGAAAAATGAGAATTTGGAAGAAAATTCAGGTTGGTCATTGAAACAATTTGCACATGTTATTTGAGTTTTGGTCTTGCAAAGAAGAATAACATGGATCAAGTCCATCTGTATAAAGTCTTGGGATATTCTCCCTCTGTTTCATTGTGTCATTCAACCTTTGATTTCTTTTTTAAAAAGTTTGAACTGCTATATTCCCCCGTCCTCTGTCCTGTTTTGTTTGGTTGGTTTTGTTGTTGGGGTTTTTTTAAGTATTGGTTTTGAGGTTTTCTTATTAATAAAATCTACATCCTGTTTTTCAATAAAATACAGCTTGGAATAACTACACTTAACATTTTCACTGTTTAGAATCTACTTTCAAAGCAACAGTACTATTTATTTTTCAGTTCTGAGAAGCTCACTCTGAGACAAAAAAAACAGCTTTCAGATTTTGGGTTGTTATCTTACAAAGTAAAAAAGCAAAGCAATATAAAACCCATCTGTAGAGACAATGGCATGTCTGCAGCATGAGTGAAAAATAATGGTACTTTCTGAGAGGTGCGTTTTCTGTTTGTTATTTTTTAAGCTTCCCAGTTTGCACAACACTAATTATGTTTCCTCTTGTATAAACATGGAAGTCACTGGTTGGTAAATTATAGTTTTGAATTGCATGTTGCTTTTATAATTTCTGTTTTCCCCCTGTGTAATCCTCATGTGCCCATATGTGTAGCAACTCATACACACACAACACAGATCGATCTTGCATGCAAAGTGCAAGATGTCTCAGTTACAGCAAAGTTTGAGTAGCTGATCTTTCCATGGCTTACCCATAGATCCCTATGCAGTGTCTCCCTTCAGTTCCAGCTCTTATGAAGCAAAACAGGTCAGATCTCCCTCTCTAACACTAATGTATAGCAAGATTTGGAGGGAAAAAAAAAAAGAAGAAAAAGAGAATGCTTGCAAATCAATATACATAGAATGACATTTTTCCAGGGGCATCTTTCCTGTCAGATTAATGGCCTTACAGTGTCTTAACCTGAATAGTACATCAACCTTAGTGAGTTTATTGAATTCAGGTTTTGTGTTCTGTTGTAACCCTCTTTTTCTAAGGTCTTCTCAGCACAATAAGATAACTGAGTTGTGGTTTTACACATTATCGGATTCTGTTGAAAATCCCTACTACACCACACAGGCATCTTACAAAAAAAAACGTTGATGCCTGGCTTTATAGAGGAGGTAAATTGTACTACAGATATTCAGAGAGGAAGAATCCGTATGTCGCGGTTTTCTGTAGCTTGGGAGCTTATCGGTAGTGTTGGAGAGCATATTGATTATTTTAAATCCTTGCTCTGTGTACATTGCAGGGCTTGCTAAAGAAAATCCAGAGAATGAGTATTACCTGCCACTTATATTTAGCAATGCTACAGGATGACAACATCCCTCCTTTACAGACACTGTTTCTCTCTAAAATATTTTCTAGGCTTACCATGCAAATGCAGAAGACTTCTTTAATAGGAAGACAGACAGCAATGTTTTCACTTGAAATTATTTTTTGTTCTTCTTTTCAATGATGAGTTCACTTTTCCTGCAGCTTTAGAAACCCAAAACAAACAACTCTTGCCCTCTCTCAACCCTGCCCCTCCCACCCCCCAAGAAAAATAACAAAAAAAATCCAAACCAACCCAAAACAACCAAGGACAAAAGGGAAGCCAGTAGGCAGAAATTTCTACATGCTGTTTAAAATTAACTCCAAATATTTCCCTTGTTATCAAATCTATACCGTCATAAGGTGCCTGTTCAGATGTGCAGCCTCTCTGGTCCAAGAGATGGAGCAGTGTAGCCATCAGGGACTCCAGGATGTTTGCTGTCTCTCTTCACATCTCTGTTTTGTCTCGTGCATTTGTTTGGCACTGTGATTCAGGAAAGGACTCACGCAAAATAATATACATATTCAGTTACTTTTTTAAATAAAGATGTTCTCTTGAATTGGACTTGAACTAAATTGCTGAGATTAGCAGAAGCAGTGGCTATAGCCGTTTGATGTGCAAGACCTTCCCAAAAGAGCAGGGCCTTGAGAAGAAGACGACAAGATCTCCAAGTCCCATTGTGTTGCCATAGAATAGGAATGTTGTGGTCCATGGGTGCACTGTTGTGGCATCACAAACCCACAAAACTGGAGGTGCCAAGAGAAAGGCAAAGGACGGGAAGAACAGGTTTCTGCAGCAAGCCAGATTGGAGAGCTGACAGCTAGCTGTAAATTATGGGGTAAAATCAATATATAACAAATGCTTATCATAAACACTTTATAAAACAGTATCACTATCTCAAAAGTATTCCTCTTTTCTCCTACTTTGGTAGGGCTATTATACTTTGTCGATTAGAGACTATGATGTTGTAAATCTAAAAAGGCTCCCAGGGATCGAGGTTAGTCTCATTTCCTTTATTTGCAATTGGTATTTTAGAGCCCAAATACAGAGAAGAGTCATACTCCATAAGAGGCTTATTAGGGTTTCATTGCCACTACATAAAGTAGCCAAAGAGAGAGAGAAAGCTCTGAAAAGGTACAGGTGTAAAAAGAGTGAGATCCCATGTTATATAGGTGGATACAAAAGTCACAGTTCTAAAGAAATCCCCAAAGAAGTTGTTCTTGGGGCAGGTGAAGAAGTATGTTGTCAGCAGTTGAAATCAACTGTAAGGGTCAATCCCAAAAAGAGTATTCTGGTGGTGCATTGCAACAAGTTGGCTTCATGGCAAATGAGAATTTTAGAGTCTGTTGGAGATAGGAGAATCCACAGCTAAGCCATATTTCTTCCCAAGGGTCACAAAACCAAACCTTAAAGCCTTATACCTGGAATAACTTTGGGACTGTCAGAAGCTGAAGTGTTTCCCGCTATACCAGAGGAGTTTTTTTGAGTTTGGAAGCATCAAAATCACATCCCATATGCACTACATGGTGCTTGGGAATGGTCAGTGCAAAGGCAGCTTCCACGGTCCTGCAGGTGGTGGATGGGGGAAAAGTGTACCACGCTGTGGTTACAGGGATCTCAAAGACAGGGATTATTGTGGGATATACATTAGAAATCAGGTGGGAAATTCCAACATGAAGTGCTATTTGTATCAACAATTCTTTCTAGAAAGTTTGTTTCTCAAATTTCTGGGATTTCACAATCTCATAATTTCAAGTCTAGCTTTCCTTTTTATTTTCCTCCCATCGTTCTTAGGATTCTTGTCTTGGGAGTCAGGGTCGTTTTGGGTTTTTTGGTTGTTGTATAATCCACCACTTTTGTTTATTGTGCTGAGGGCATTCAGAAGTGCCTTTTACTTATGATAAATAGAGCCTAGGAAATGCAATGTTTCAGGTGGAATTTGTTGCTGTAAACACTGTAAGTCCTTGTAAAAGCAGTGAGTGTGAAAATACATCTTCATGAATATGTCTAGTTTGGCATGTCTTCTTTCAAGCAAGGAGAAAAATAAGACAAATATACTACTTTTCTTCATATACTCTCATAAAAGAAAAGTATGCTCCATAATAACTCACTTTTATTAAGTAAATTAGTATTAATATTGTTAAAATAAACACAGCTTCACGGTCATGATGTGACAGTTGTTCAATTGACCCCAAAACCCTGTAGCCATAAAGGTAATGAAGGCAGATATCAGAGGTTCTTGCTGCCTGTTGCTCTTCTGCATTTACTGGAAAAGGAGTTGATCTCTGAAATGCATCCTGTATGGATGCTGGGTCCCCAGTATTCACCACTAAGGTATCCACAAATGAATTCCCAATGTAAGTCTGACTACTGAGCACTGAAAAAAGCTTAATAATGCATTAATATACAATTGTGCATTTCAAAACTTTTGCATCATAATTTTTCCCTTGTTTAAAATCTGCATAATTTTTCAAGTAATATCCTATGTTTATGGCTATGTGTAGCTCCACACAGAACTGATTCTCCTTCTGTATGTAGAGTTTTGATCTCTTTATCACAGATCTTCTGTAAAACAGCCCCAGCTGCAGCTGACTTTATAGAAAGGTTTTGGACAACTTGCTTGATGGTCCTTTGTTTCGCCGTTCTTTCTCCCTGGTCCTTGTGTCTGCAGTCACCTCCAGTGCACAGTAGAACACTGACAAGTAAAATACAGAGAAATTGAAGTGGAAAAGTCTCTAATATATAGCCTGCATTGGCATGAGCAGAAGATAACAAACTTTGCAAAATAACTTTAGATCGTGTGAATTACTTTCAAATTTTTGCCATTGTGTGGAGATACTACATCAAAACAATAGTCTTTCGCAAACTTCAAATATCAAAAATAAATCCAGCAATAAAATAATAGATTAAATCATAGTCAAGCTTGTGCTGAGTGCAGTAAGGTTTTAATGCTTTGCACCAGGAAAAGTATGAGGAAAACATGATTTTTCATATAAAGTCTTAGAACAGAATGAATGATTGCAACTGTATGACAGAAAAAGATTCAGTTCCAAGCAATAAACAGCATGCTGAGCATGCTAAATCAAACCAAACTTCAACTTTATCTTACTTTCTCCACCCCTCCTAACATAGTACTTGCAAGCATAGAAAATTGTGGCTATTTCAGTGTAAAATAATTTTTTCCTGTAGTGAA